CACTTCAGTACTCTTGAGAGGTCTCTCACAGCTGACTTTCTAGTGCAATTCGTCTCCTGATTTCCTAGCTGCTGTTACCAAGAGCGTTGACTCTGGAGCCAAGTAAACAAAAACTGTTAACTATCTCAATCTCTTCACCATCCATACTGATGCTGCCAATTGGCCCAGTGGTGAGAATCTTTGTTTTCTTGATATTGAGCTTCAATCTGTATTGAAGACTGCAATCTTTGACCTTCTGCAGCAAGCGCTTCAGGTCCTTCTCAGTTTCAGCGAGCAGGGTTGTGTCATCTGCATTTATTATGAGCCATACAGTCCTTTGACACAATGCGTAGCTGCAACCACTTTTTTATTATCTCAGCAAAATTTACCTTGGCATGTGATTTTTTTTAATGTGTGTGTGTGTGTGTGTGTGTGTGTGTGTGTGTGTGTGTGTGTACCATCAAATGGGATCTGACTTGTACAGGAGATTACCCCTGCTTCTCCAGCAGAGCGCAGTGCAGCTTCTTGCCACTAGGCGCTCCCCATAAAATTTTTATTATTTGTGTGTGTGTACTCTCAAATCAGATCTGACTGGTACAGGAGGAGATTGCTCCTCTCTCTCCAGCACAGCAGCTGGTGGATTCAAACTACGTACCTCTGGGATTGCAGTGCAGCTTCTTGCCGCTAGGCCACCAGAGCTCACTTGGCATGTGATAGTAATAGCATTGTTCTTTAACTTCTACCACTTTTATTAGGAATGGGCATAAACATGTATCTCTTTTCCCATCAGCTGGCCAGGTTACTGTCTCCCAAATTTTTTAGCCTAGGCTAATGAGAGCTTCTAGCATTGCATCAGCTTGTTCAAACATCTCAGTTCATGCTCAGCCAGTTAATAGAGCGTTGGTACTTTGGGCAGTGCCTTCAGCACAGCTGAGACCTTTTTCTTTCAGTACCATTGGTTCTTGATCGTATGCTATCTTCAGAAATTATTTCTTATCAACCAGTTGTTTTGAATACAGTGACTGCGTATTTTTTCCATCATCATTGGTCCATGAAATCCTTCGATATTGCAAGGATGCTTCCTTTTTTTTTCACCATCCTTTCAGCTTTGGAAATGTTGAGCCTATTTTGGTTATCTAACTCCAGGTGTTTGGAGTTTTGGGGTTTTTGTTTTGGTTTGGTTTGGTTTTAGGGTTTTTTACTATTAATTTTAAAAGGTGTGGGGCTTTTAAGAATTAATTCTTTGTCTTCTCATGCTGCTCTTGGATATCTTCTGTCCAGTTCTTTAACATCATTGCTTCTTCCATTTGCTTTAGTGACTCTACACTTAAGAGTAAATTTTAGAGTTTCTTCTGATACCTATTTTGGTCTTTTCCTTTCTTTCCTAATTTTTTTCATGACTTTTGCTTTCTTGATGTATCCTTGATGTCATCCCACCGGCTTCTCTGGTTTTGGGTCATAATGTTCAGTGTGTCAGATCCACTCTTGAAATAAGTCTGTAAATTCTGTACTCAAGTTCATACTTTTGGGTCTGGTGGACTTGTGATGGTTTTTTGTTGTGTTTTTTGTTTTGGTTTTTTAATAACATTTTTTATTTTAATGAAAATTTACAGAAAACTTAGATTTTCATTCATTCATTCATTGTTGTACATTTTCCTCCCTCCTCCTCCCCCAGTTCACTTTCTTTTTTAAAAATATTTATTCATTGTTGCACAGTTCCCTCCCTCTCCCCCTCTCACAGTCCACTTTGCAATGTATCTCTTAATCTGGACTATTATCTTACATATAATGCCTAATCATATATTTCTTTTAAATAGTTCTTTCCTTCATCTGTTCCAATGCAGTATTCATTATCTACCCACTC